AATAGTGTCCATAAAGACAAATGTAAAAAGAAACAAATAATCTTTTGCACTGTGAAGGTATTTATTTTTATTCATATCTTCTCAGTGCAACAGATTATTTGTCTGGTCTCAATAGCATAATATATCTCTGATGGAAATATAATCGAAACCGTCAAGATATTGCATTGCGAAGATCATTCATCCCCATTCATACCTTTCTCCAGTGAAGAGTGCGCTTGGTGTGTAAAATATGTTTTAATCAGAGGCCTAAATGACAAAAGGGGTAATAGATACTGTTTATTATTACAAATAGGAGCTTGAGTAAAGTCATTGGCTCGGACACCAGGGTTTGGTATTTGATACAATACTCTTTGAACATTGAATATCTACCTATACAGTCATTGTATAAGCTTTGTATAAGTATTGGCTGTGTTATGGAACTGAGTGACTAAAATAGATAACCTGGGAAGGGGGGAAAACTATGCACTATATGGTATGGTTGAAGAAAATCACTGATATTCTTAGAGAAATGGATTAAAAAAATCTAGAGGAATTACAATTTCCCTCCCGCTTCCTCTAAGTAAAAAACAACATCGTCTTCTTCCAGGACACCCTATATACCAACTTACAAAGATTAAATTCCACCATACCACACATATCACAGGCTCACACTTCCTCTCACACACACAAAGAGAAAAAAAAAACGTACGAACGAAACCAAACAAACCCGATTTACCTTGACTTATGTTGAAATCTTTGCAACTTCCTCCATACATCACGTCTTCACAGGCCCAGTACTACGGCCCCATCTACATCGGCACTCCCGGCCAGTACTTCAAGGTGATCTTCGACACCGGTTCCTCCAACATGTGGGTGCCCTCGGAGCAGTGTTCGATCATCAACCTGGCCTGTCGTGAGTAAACCAATATTTTTTATGTAGATCTATTTGTCTGTCTGTTTGTCACTCTCTGTTTATCTCTCTCTCTCTCTCTCTCTCTCTCTCTCTCTCTCTCTCTCTCTCTCTCTCTCTCTCTCTCTCTCTCTCTCTCTCTCTCTTTCTCTCTCTCTCTCTCCCTCTCTCTCTCTCTCTCTATCTATCTCTCTATCTATCTATCTATCTATCTATCTACATATCTATCTGTCTATCTCTCTCTCTCTCTCTCTATCTATCTATCTATCTGTCTCTCTCTCTCTCTCTCTCTCTCTCTCTCTCTCTCTCTATATATATATATATATATATATATATATATATATATATATATATATATATATATATGTATATATATATAGATAGATAGATAGATAGATAGATAGATATATACATATATATATATATATATATATATATATATATATATATATATATATATATATATATTCTATCTATCTACTTATCTTTTTATCTAGCTACCTAGCTATCTGTTTGTCTATCCATCTACCTCTAGCTATCTCTATCTGTCTGTCTGTCTCTGCTTGTCTGTCAACTACCTATCTGGTTTCGCTCTCTCTCTCTCTCTCTCTCTCTCTCTCTCTCTCTCTCTCTCTCTCTCTCTCTCTCTCTCTCTCTCTCTCTCTTCTCTCTCTCCTTTCCTCTCTCTCTCTCCTTCCTTCCCTCCCTTCCTCCCTCCCTCCCTCCCCCTCCCTCTCCCTCTCCCTGACCTTCACCCTCCCCCTTCCCCTCCTCCTTTCCTTCTCCCTCTCCCTCCCCCTTCCCCTCACCCTCCCTCTCACCTTCACCCTCCCCTCCCTCCCCTCCCTCCCCGCCTCTCCACTTAACATCCGTGCAAATTGCATCCTCCCTCTTACAAAACTAATTGCATTACAATCCGCAAATCTACGCACTTTGCAGAGCTGCACAACCGCTACGATTCCGTCCTGTCTTCCACGTATAAGCCCAACGGGACGCACTTCGAAATCCAGTACGGGTCCGGATCGCTCGCCGGTTTCCTCTCCAGGTAAGGGACCGGAGGCGGGGACGAGACGAGACAGAGAGAGGGAGGGAAGGACGAGACGAGAGAGAGAGAGGGAGGGGGGAACGAGACGAGAGAGACAGAGGGAGGGAGGGGCGAGACGATAGAGAGAGAGGGAGAGAGGGGCGAGACGAGAGAGAGAGGGAGGGGAGGACGAGACGAGAGAGAGAATGGAAGGGGAGGGAGAGAGAGAGATATGAAGAATAACAAAGGGCTTGATAGATAGAGAGATAGTGGGGAAGGGAGAGGGAGAGAGAGATAGAGAGAGGAGGGAAGAAGAGAGAGAGAGGGTGATAGTGGTTTCTTTCCTCTCCAGCTGAGTGATTCCGGAGGAAGAGACGCTGTGCTGAAGAGGGACGTAGTGTTAGGACTTTTTATATTAACATTATCCTTTCTTACGTCATATTGTAAAAAGCAAAGGAGGAGAGGTATTTTGGGGATAAAGGGCAATAGGTAAAAGAGTCTGAATATATAAAAAAAAATAGAGGCTAACATGTAAGCGAATAAAAAAAGATAAATAGATAAATATGATCAAATAAAGATTAAACAATCCAAATTTCGTAGAAGTAGAAGATTCCGTATGATGCTTAAATTCATTAGGTAAAAGAGTAAGAATAAAATACAATAAAATAATAAAAATAGATTCTAAAATATAAACGATTAAGAATAAAATACAAAAGATAGATCCTAAAATATAAACGAATAAAAAAAAAAGAAATTTGTATAAAAGCACATATCTTCGTATGCCGCCTTACGCTCAAAGACGCGCTTTCCTACACCCCCCCCCCCCCGTCTCTCCTCCCACGCAGCGACGTCGTCTCCGTCGGCGACGTCTCTATCACGGACCAGACCTTCGCCGAGGCCACGCAGGAGCCCGGCCTGGCCTTCGTCGCCGGGGCATTCGACGGCATCATCGGCATGGGCTTCACCGAGATCTCCGTCATGGGCATCCCGACGGTGTTCGACACGATGGTGGCTCAGAACGCGGTCGACGAACCCGTCTTCTCGTTCTATCTGAACCAGTGAGTCCGTAGTGAGGGGGCCCTGCGCTCGGGGGTTTGTTTTTGCTTGATTTTTTTTTTTTTTTTTTTTTTGTCTCCGTATTCTCTGTTTTTTTTTTTTTTTTTTTTTCAAAACGTATTGTTTATGATGTTTATTTATGGTTTTTTTTTTTTTTCGTCTTTTCTTTTTTTTTAGTCTTTTTGTATTTCTGAGGAGTTTGCGCTTACGTATCAAGAAATCCTTTATATCTTATTACTTCCGCTCATCTAAAAACAAAACTCTATTCTTCACCCACCAACCTCCCACGTCTCTTCTATCCCTTAACACAAATCCCGCAAGTCATCCCACCTCAAAGGCCATATAAATCAACCTCTCATTTAACTCCTAATTCGTAATCTCCTCTAACCTCCTGTACTCTGCCCCCCCCCCCCCCCTCCAGCGACATGAATGACGAGTTCGGCGGCGAGCTCATCCTCGGAGGCTCGGACCCCAACCACTACGAGGGCGAGTTCCACTACGTCCCCGTCTCAAGGGTCGGCTACTGGCAGCTCACGGCCGAGGCGTAAGTTAAAAGATAAGGATGACAGTCGTTTAATTTGCAAGGATGGGTAGTTCCTGTGTTATTGTAATGGTGACGATGGTGACAGTGCTTCTACAAATGGGAGAATATATGACCGGTTTAATAATTATGATAGTTACTGTGTTACGATTTACGTTTCTACAGGCGTAAGTTACAAGATGATGGTGAGAGTGATTTCATTTGCTAGGATGGGTAGTTCCTGTGTTACTGTAATGGTGATGAGGTGACAGTGATGGTGATGATTCAGGTTTCTACAAATGGGAGAAGATGTGGCTTAATAATGATGATAGTGACTTTGTTATGATTACTCACGTTTCTACAGGCGTAAGTTAAAAAATGATGGTGAGAGTGATTCCATTTGTTATGATGGGTAGTTACTGTGTTATTTAAGTGGTGATGATGGTGACAGTGATGGCGTATGCTGATGAGATGAGTGTGATTCCATTTGTTATGAGGGTACTTACTCTGCTATTCGGAACGATAATGATGGTGATAGTGATGATTATGATAAGGATGATTCTATAGTTTTGAGATGTAGATACCTGAATTCACACATTAAAAAGAAAATGGAGTAGTAGATGCATATATACATCTTTCTAATTACAAACATTAACTAGAAAAGCACTCAGAGAGTGCAGACCTCCGCCAAGGTGCGTATGTAATGTACTTACACAGCTGCTGCGTCCAGACGGTAATACAGAGTCACCAAAATTTAATCAGTTCTAAGTTAGTCCCTTTCTGACTTGTCCCCAAAATTTCGATGAAATCCGGCCATCACTTTTTGAGCTACGCTGCTAACAAACCAACAAACCAACGCCGTCAAAAACATAACCTCCTTGGCGGAGGTAACAATAACAATAAAATGGGAGATAGTGAAATGTGACACGCATTTACCGTAGATTTGTTTACCGAACTTGGATAGTAAATTTATTTATTAAATAATGATAATAATAATAATAACCAGACGGTAATTCGGAATGTCACCAAAATTTAATCAGTTCTAAGTTAGCCCCTTTCTGACTTGTCCCCAAAAATTCGATGAAATCCGGCCAGCACTTTTTGAGCTACGCTGCTAACAAACAAACCAACAAACCAACGCCGTCAAAAACATAACCTCCTTGGCGGAGGTAATTACACTGTAAATCACAAACATAACTTACGATCTACCCACCAAAAGACAAATAAAACTTTGAGACGCCCCACAAATCCTAAATCCCTGAATAATCCTTTGCCCAAATCCTACGACCATCAATCCTGCAATCCCTCCCACCAGCATCAAGGTGGGGGGCGTGGCCAAGGACTTCTGCAACCCTTGCGAGACCATCGTGGACACCGGCACCTCCCTCCTCGCCGGGCCCAAGGAGCAGGTCAGGGTAAGTATCCTGAGGCCTCGTGAGTATCCTGAGTATCTTGAGGCCTCGTGAGTATCCTGAGTATCCTGGGGCCTCGCAACTCTTGTCTTGAGGTCG